GTGATGGTCTACAAAATCATGAAGATTTATTTGAGCAAAGAAGTGTAGAGTTTTTTATTTGTTTTTTTTTTCAAGTTAACGTTGACAATGGCCGTTTGATAAGAAAGACGCGGCACCACAGCATAAAAATAAAAAAGACAGAAAAAGAAGCTAGGATGACGCTTAACCTTCGACTTTCTAAGGGCGATGTATCGCATTCCTAACCACTTGTCATGCCTCTCTTCTAGATGGACACCTAAAGCATGCCTCGAGAGAAAGAACATCTGCGTGTGTGTAATTCACCGCTGTAAACTTTCTTGGGGTGTGTAATTCAACTATATAACCGCGAAGCAGCTTCTACGACATAATTGATCGTTTTAACATTTAACGAACAAACTACAGCACGTCAGTATTTAAAGAGATAAGTGCACACAATTTCGAATTGTACACTTTATTGACGCTGGTGTTGCTTATACTATAGACGAATACTAGCCGAGTGCCTCGGTACGGGTAAGAACCTTTAAACCAACTACTTTTTACGCTATTGACATTATGCGAAGTCTGCACATGTGCACTTCCGTGAAGCAATATTAAGTTTGATAACTTTAACGCAAGCCCTACATAATGCTTCTATGGGACATTTACTTAAGCAGTTTCGTGCACTGGGCGACTGAAGTACAATACTTGACTGCCACGCAGAATGGTGTGATTCAATCTAGACTGGTACACTGCTAATATATATTTGCGTCCAATGAGGTATTTTTTCGCGGACAACGCCGCTTATGCCTACGACACCATTTCTTTCCGAAAAGGGTTCCTCAACGCTACTGCGTTGAAACTGCGTGTGCTGTTCTGTGCAATCATGTAGTGATAGTTTTACTTTTTCCGTTTGTCATGCCCTTTCTCCAGTGTTAGGCGCACCTACGCTTTATGTGGCAGTTGCAATATAACTTGCCTAGAAATTTATATTGTGCCAATTTTCAGTGTACACATTGATAATACATTTTTTCTGTTCTTTAAATACGGGCAGAGCAGTTAACGTGTCTTTTTTTTTCATTATTGCTACCTCAGGCTATTGAAGTAAATTGTAAAAAAAAAACAACTGAGAGTGACTTCTTCGTGCACCACAGCAAATTGTTATAGGCAGAGGAATATATACTTTACCCTGCAAACACTGTTGGGAGGCGTCTTCAGATCTTGCAAACGAGGCTAATTTAGTTTCTGACCCGACAAGATGTTGTTATTGCTTTCATCAAAATTATGACTATGATGCATGCTTCAAGCTGCCGAGTTGCTTTAGGTAGGATTTCGGACAAACGTCACGTTTTGTTAAACCTTTCGTTCGTTACTAATAATGCATCCTGCTTTGTGGTTGGTTGAAAGACTGGACTATAACCAACCTCAATTGAAAACCTTTCTGAGAACAGGCAGTCATTATTAGCATATGCATACCAACATTACACTCAAACACATCATCAGTATTCTACATTTTAGCTAGCCATTACGTCAGTGAAATCACTTCGACTGATTTTACAGTATCTTCGTCCATTTACCCAATTTTCGTTTACTAATCTTCAAGAATAAGTTTTTATTATTCATTAGCAAAGCACGGGTTGTTACTATTAGAAATAAATAAGCAATCTCGAACGTATTGTGTTAAAATTTATCACTCTAAGACTGAGCCACAAAGTCTGGCTCTTTTTTGCATCGCACAATTTTCGGTTTTTAAAGAACTTCATGAACGACCTATTCACGATTATATGCCTTCATGTCTGCATCAGCCAGTAAACGATTCTCTAATTTTTCTTTAATTACCCTCCTCCTCTCTAACAGCTCTATATGGTCTCTCCAATGTCTTAGGCTGCCACATTGCTGTGCCAGTGTATATTTGGCAATCGTGCAGAAATGTGTTTATAAATCATTTCAAAGACGAAATCCTCTTTATATGCCAAGCAGCATTTATAAACCATTTTTAGCTTGTGGTATCTATGAAACGTATGCCTATTTTCCTATCATCCGTTTGTTTTGAACACTAGCGGTGCTATCGATGAAAATATCGGGAATCATTATGAAACGAGTGACATTTATTTCCTTGCCACCAACTTTTGTACGAGATTGCATTTTTCAAACCTTCAGACTAATCGGGTGCCATACATCGCAGTATTGTTGATTGATCTCTGCAACAGAAAGCTAATAAGGTACTGCTAACAGTGCCTGAGCGACATCGGTGTAATAAAAACAAAATCCTAACAAGAGGGGACATGGAGAAACATCTCTTTTGAATGGAACTGTTAATCGATATTAGAAAAAAGAACGGGACCGGTGACTGAAGACCGGCAAGAAAGAACTCCAATGGTGGCAGCAAGCAGTTTAAGTCGTGTACGCTGACTATAAAGGCCGTAAATCTGCCTCACGCCACTCAGCTGCGATTCGATCGAAGTATTCCTTCACACACAAATTCAGTGCGCGGGCGCTTCTGTTCTTGTGTTCGACAGCAACAACCGAGGCCTCGCCCCAAACAAACGGGGCTAGGCAGTCAGAATTCACGCGACTGGGAGGCACGACGAATGATTGTTTGTCAGCCGTCAGCCCGGGCTGTGGTCTGATTCGAGAGCGATGCGTTAGACGCCGTGCAAGAGGAAAATGGCCACGTCAGACCAAATATCAATTGAGACAGCCGAGTGAATTAATTTTGGCGGTGAGCGATTGTTGCCGAGGCAAAAGCTGTCAAAAGTTACTTCATGGTTCGTTTGTTTTTTCTTCTCTCTCCCAAAGTAATCGAAGGGGGAACAATCGGACTAGTAACACGCGCCCTTTTTGCCTCCCTTACGTTGGCTTCTTCTCAAAAAGACAATGCCTGCTGTGAAGCACGCTCTACAGGGTGAGCGCATTGACTGTTACGGAAGGACACGCCCAATACGTGAGTACATTTCGGGTGATGATTCTGCAGGGCAATACGTGCAGAGCACTTCGTGGGACGGCGCCGAGGACTGCGCGTTTTCAGCCGGAGAGGTGACGACACAGAGAGGTGTAGGTAAGAAGAGGGAGAGAGAGAAAGTGTGGTATGAGAGAACGCTTGCCTGCTGCAAACGGACGTTGGAATGAAAGGGAATGCCGGTCGAGCGAAAAGCAGCGGCTCTCCCGTACTGCTGCGCCAGATGGCACCGACCTGTGACCCGAGCATTGCACATAAAAGCATTCGCGGGAGATGAAAGAAATGCCTTCATCCCGCACCCAGCTGCACAAAAGAGGGCTCGGCACAAAAGGGGGGGTGCACGTGTGGATAAAGTAATTGCGTTTTGGCCGGGCTGCTGCTGACCGCGCTCCAGTAGCCCAACTCTGACGTTGAGCAAAGTTTTTCTTGGAATAGTTGAGGAGAACAGGCAAAGCTCGGCAGAATAGAAAGCCGAACTTACACCGCTAGAATTAATCTAGCTCTTTAGAGCATGCATGGTAACTTGTGGGAAAAAGCCGAATCGCGCTAGATGAGTTGTGGATGACTTGGTTGCTTTACGCTATATCAAGAAAGCGCGCGGGAGAATTGCGCTCCGTCTCTCGTTACTAAGCACGAGTGAGCGGGTGGCGCAATGTTCGCACACTGCAAGCTGCCTGCCATAACGCTTAGGGGTGCGCTTCCCGCTGCGGGCATGTTCTCAAGGAAGGGTCATAAGGGAAAGCAGCGAAGGCCACAGATATTAAGTTGCGCGTACTTTGCTTGCTTAAATATGTAGTGTCTTTACAGAAGGTTATTTTGCGTAAAATAATTGAGAGATGAGATAATTGCAAGTATTCACAGTAAAAGACTGGTCATGCAACCTTGCAGAAAAGAAAGTAGTCAATACACAACAAACTCCGAACTTTGCCCTTGTAGAGCCTAGACATTCTTCTTGTGTCCCGGTTTGCATGCCCTGTATTCTAGAATGAATTATTTCACACATTGTTAGATGGTATCCAGCAGGTGTTAGACGTGTCCTTTCTCTGCTTCTACATTTGCACTTAACAGGTGTCGCAAATCGGCTAACGGTGTCTGAACTTGATCAATAATGATTTTGTACATCGCATAGAATATCAAGCGTTCAAATAGGTGCTATGCTTCCACTGACCCAATTCTTGGGAAATATGGACCTCGATGATACAACTGAACAGCTGTATCTTCTACAACTGCGTAGGCTACATGGCCGGCGTTGTATATACACTGTTTTTTTATTTATTATGACTTTAGTATATGTGACTCTTCGTGCTAGGCAGCCAAGCATTGTATATTAGATTAACCTTAGTTGCTCTCTATGCCTACCTGTCATATCCTAGCTCTATTGAATTCAGGTCTAACTAGAGACGTTAAAAGCAGCGCATAGCGAAGGTACGTGTAGTCAATTTCACTAATTGAAAAGTGAAATCGCTCCAAATAAGCGCATCTGCATATTAAGCTCATAATAATTTTGTATACACACACACGCACACATTGAAATACTATATACTCAGCAGAAGTAGTCTTAATTTCATTTTGCAAAATTCACAATAGTCTCAGCCGGTTCTATATATATATCGCTACATGCATATTGATATTTTGTGGGACGATGAGCATGTATGCCTTACGAAAAGGAAGAAAGGTGCTTTCCGCTCGTTTGCTGGTGAACCGGTCACGCCATTACTGCTGGTTTTGAGTAAATCTCTTTGACAGCCTCGTTGATACGGCGCCGTGTCTTATTCGTAACAATATATATATATATATATATATATATATATATATATATATATATATATATATATATATATGGTTGCTGTTGGGCATGTCATGCTTGGCATAATTAATTGGGTAGTAAAGTAAAAAGAGAAAACAGATGACAGCTGTACTTAGGAAGAGTAGTTACACTTGGAATTGTGTTGAGTTGTATCTATATTTATATATCCCACAGCACTCGCGAGTAGCAGTGCCTGATGTTTGAAACACACTTCGGTACTATGGTAAAGAAGACAACAGTTCTATTTTTCCCGTAAAACAAAGCGAGCCGGGCACTCACTGGGCAGGCACGTTCCGCGGCGCGTGAGCACGAGCGTCCGGTTGGTGCAGGCGCAGCGGCGCGTCGATGCGTCGCATGCGATGCCCACAGCGGCAGCCTGGAAGCTGAGACGCCGGCAGTCCGCGTCCGACTCGCACGTCGCCTCGGTGGCGCTAGTTGCTGGTGGAAGAGACGAGGAAAAAACAAGAACAAAACGCAATGTTAGCGACAATTGTGCAGTCGAAGCCAAGCTTAGTGTACACGAAAGTTTGTTTGGGTAGTTTCTTTTTTTTTCGTTTCTGTGTTGCGAGCATAGCAAGAAAAACAACTCCTGTAAGAATAAGAAGTAGAGTAGCCGACGCCACATATGGACGTCAATCTCTCCTTACATAGGTTGCTTTAAAAAGAAATAAGAGACAACATCATCGACAAAATCTATGTTGGTGTGGATAGACGTAATCAAAGCATGAAACGAATAACAGGTGTTGTTTATTGAGTAAACAGAAGCGTGGAGCTTAGGGCATTGTACTCATAATAATAATAATAATAATAATAATAATAATAATAATAATAATAATAATAATAATAATAATAATAATAATAATAATAATAAGAAGAAGAAGAAGAAGAAGAAGAAGAAGAAGAAAACGAAGAAGAAGAACTGGAATTTGACGTTCCAACAGCACGATATGATTATGAGAGCCACCGTAGGGAGTGCTCCGGAAGATTTTACCATCTGGGGTTCTCCTTCGTGCCCTGACATCACACTGTACACGCACCTCTGAAACTTAGCCTCCATGGAAAGGCTGCCATAGAACCCATTTGTACTCAGATTAGAGAACATTGCGTGTTGCGAACGAAAACTTACGAACGAAAGCAGAAAAGGTGAAGCTATTCCTTTTTCTCAGCAAAAAATATGCAGCTTGAAATGTGGAAGTACAAACCACGAAATCACGTTCGATCAATTGCCACACCGACATAATTTTGGTTTGCAAGGGTGTTCCGTGAAATGTTTACAATTTTTTACCGCACCATGGTCAAAATTGTAGATCCCAATGATACACGGGAGTATTTTGAACCAGCACAAAGCGTACCCCACACTTAGCACCACTTTTCGGTGGCATACGAAGGTGCAAGAATTATTCGAAGCTAAATGTGTTCGCAGGTGTGCTCCGGTGCCATTCTTAGAGAATATAATAAAAGTGTTATGCAATGTGAATTTTTAGCTGTTTCTTTTTTTTTCTGGATAAAATTGGTGCCTCGATAAAAAGGTCGAATCATCAGACTTTTGAAGGTGACAGCTTGAGGAACGGGCATTTTTTGTGGCGAAAAATATAAGACTTTTTTGCAAGACAAGTCACCAACTCTTGTTTGCTCCTAAAGCCCGTGCGTCTATGGATAAATCTATAGGGAGGAGGTAAAGGCCATGAGTTATTTTTCTGCAATCAGGTTATATCTGCGAGAGCATGTAAACATGGCTTTACCGGTTCGCTGAACGGCGTTCTTTGTGGCTTAAATGGCGAGACAATGTTTGACATAGTGTAAGGTGCTTTTCTTGAGAGATACCAGGTAAACAATGGCACGAATCTTCAGATACAAGCGGAGAATACATAAAAAAAGGCAGTGTAGAGTGGGCAAGACAAGTTTGTTGAACATACATGCAAGTCAAAACGGAGTATTTAGCGAAGGAAGAAATAACATAGAAGCCTAGGAGAAAATGAAAAATTATATGCTGCGAGGAAGCCTGATTCGCTTTTGATAAAATCGGCTGAAATTTTTTATCTGATTCTCAGCGCTTTCTTACAGGTACACAACTCTCATGTAGATGTGTGGGCACGTACACCCAAATAATGGCTATTTGTTTAACTTCTTCAGGACAACAACTTCTTGAAATACGTTGCCGCGGAACCAGTTCCAAACAAAACCAGGTTGCTTTGGATCACACGACGTGTCCCAACCATTCGCACTGAGACATGCATACTGGCGCAACAGTTGGTCCGGCATGTTATTCGGTCTTGGTGTATGTTCTGCATACAACTTGTGGGATCTCAACTGGTTGCGTTTGCTGAGCCTCAACCCTCTTCCTATCATTATTTTCTTTAATATTTTGTTTCTTATCGATGTCACGAAATTGCATTGTTTTTCATCTTAACCCAGCCTCAATCTTTGCCGAGGCTGTAAACACACAAACGTTGTTTACGTTCTTTAGAGAGACGCGCTTTAGCGAATGTGTTCACAACGTTCAAAACGCCAAGCGCTTTGCGAAGGCGGTCACAAAACTCTCTTCGGCCACACATTGTCGTCATGCAGAGAAACACTACGCACCATCAACATTCGAACACGAACACCATTTAATCAGCGGATCGGCAATTTTCAGATTCCTGGAGCCTAACGCAGGGGCACTTGACGCTGTTTTTCGAGGAACAACAAAGATAACTTGGCAATCGGGAACAGACAAGCAGCATTTATTTTATTTGCATAACACTAATTGCCTTCTAAATCTCGATACCACCTCCCGCAAACATTCTTCCGAGAGATGTAGTTATAGTGTAGTTTTTTTTCTATGGTAAAAAGAAAGAGATCAGGTGATGTACATGTGTCACACCTGTCCCGTTTATTAGGGAGGCGATCGCCGGACTAATTCCAAGAGCCGAAGTATCGGCCCCCCGAACCGCACCACGAAAGCGTGGACAATTTAGAAGTGGTCCTTATTGGTGCGCCAGCGGACGCCGGCTGTGGCCCAAAGAACAAGACAGAGCCGAGAGTTGATAAACAAACAAATTATATTCTCAATAATGGCAGATCGAAAATAATACACAAAAATGCACACTCCACACTAGTTACATACAATATGTCACCAATCAAACCAATCAATCAACGTACTACACAATACAATCAGCCACACTTGAAACAACGGACACGGACAACAATACGCACTACAATGCAGTCGCATGCATTGAACAACCAAGACACTTAAGGACTAAAGCGATAGAAAACCTATTCAGTCCAAAGTCCTTGGAACAAAGGTCTGAATGATACTCTTCCGAGAATCACTCACACAAAGTCCAGCGTCGTTGTCGTTCCGTAACTCTCGAAGTTTCTCTTCCAGGAAACCTCGCGTCCTCAAATGGCCACTCTCCAAGCTTCAAGCTTCTTCGCCGGAAATCCGTCGGCTTCCCACACGCAGCTGTTGCCCGCGTCTTCGCTCGATAGCGGTAAACCCACGCTCTTGCCTGTAGCTCGAGCCGTCCCTACGGACCAAAACTTCGCCGACTACACGGCGGAATCTCTACGCACTCTGGCGCTCACTTCCGTCTCCTCCTGTTCCGTCACTACGGGCAGAACCTTCGCTGACTACACGGCGGAATTCCTACGCGCTCCGGCGCTAACTTTCCGTCTTCTCCTGATTTCTCGTCTCGGCAGCTCGATTAAATACTTTCCGCGCCACCTTCCAGAACGTTCTCCTCATTTCGTCGGCGCGATGCGCAGCGAAGGCTGGGGAGAGGCACGAGACGGTTCGACTGCCCTCTCCGGAGAATGATTCACTCGGTCTGACCCCGCCTCCTTCGTTCTAGAAAAATCGCGGCCTTGCTGGGCCGCCGATGTGGGGTGAGGAGGATCGTCTGCGAAGCCGTGCTTCTGCGGGAAGAGCGCGCGCCCGGGAGCCTTGGATGTTAGCTTTCTTTTTTTTCTTTTTACCTCACGGCGTTTCTGCCGCCCGTTGTCGCCAGGATTTGGCGGCGCGCTCTTTTTTAGCACTCGTTCTGTGACACTGCCCCCCACTTTAAGAATATTATCTCATAATATTCAAAACCACACAAACGAGCGCGAAAAGTCACCACACACTCTCACAGACTGTAACACAATCTGTCGCTCGTGACACGTCACATTCACAATATATCACGCAATAAAATCTTACATTGTAGTTCAATTCCACAGCACATAAAATATAACCACAGGCACATGATTACAACACTTCATCACACATTCCAAACAATACAAACGTACAAGGTTCTGTCTATACAACAATTATACAACACTATACATCACATCATCGCACAGAACACTGACTCGCTCGACATACACTTGAGACACAGGATAACAAGAACATTAACACAACATATGTCACTCAGCTCTGCCAAACACATTCTGATTCCACCTCAGCACCTATCTTGAGTACTTCGAACAGCGCTTGCGCCCCTTTTTGCGGTGCTCGCTCGATCTCTTCTTGTGCTTCCACGTTTTTTTTCGGCGAGCCCTTTCCAACGACGATATCTGAGGCGTCGTCTCAGCCATCGTTGTCTCTTCCGACACCGTTACCGCGTCATTACATTCGACGGGTCCTGTCTGTTTATTTACCCGCTTGATCATGCCTCTACATTTTGCCCGGCTGGCCAACTCCGTCTCCTTTACACTGTCGGTCGGTTGAGGTCGTGCCGATGTAAGTCCAGTTGCTCGGCCCGTGAACTCATTCAACACGATCATCTTCTCATCCGCTGTCTCTTGGGCCGCGGCTTCACCTTGGGCTCTAGTGAGATCCGTCACGGGCTGCTCCTCCACTGTATCTCGCGGCCGCTGTGTTGGCGAGGGCTCTATCTTCGGGTCTTCTCCCAAACATTCTGGATCATTCGGCCCTCGCGCCCCGACGATGTTTCCGATGACAAGGTCGTAAAGGGGGGTCGTCATACATAGAGCGGTAACTTTCCCGCTGAAGTACGGGGTTTCAACTTCAATTTCTGCTTCGGGAAGCATCCGAACTGTACGGTCAATTAAGCAAACCGGCTTCGTTCTGCCTGTCAACTCATTTTCCCGTACCAAATTTCTCCGCACGATAACAGTGGAGCTGCCGGTATCTTTTAACACCGTAATCTTTTTGTCGGCAACTTTTCCAGGCAGCGTTGGCATTCCCTTCGAAGCAGCGGTTGGCTGTTTTGACATTACAGCACCCACAATAGGAATTTTCTCCCCGTTTTTCAACTCTACGAATCCGTCGGTGACGGCATTATTATCGGATTTCGGTGCCACTTGCACACAGGATACCTGGTGAGTTTGACTCGCTCCGTTTCGACAAGCATCTGTTTTGTGCCCAGTCTGACCACACTTAAAACATTTCACTGTCGTAGGGCTCGTAAAGATCGTTCGACAGTTTTTCGCGCGATGACCCACTCGGTTGCACAGAA